TCCCCCAGAGAACCCTGCATTCACTATATCCCGCTGGCTCCCCCGGGTACCCTGCATTCACTATATCCGCTCTCACCCGCTATCCCTGCATTCACCCCGGATATCACTATATCTCTCCCCTCGGACCCTGCATTCACTATATCCGCTCTCCCCCGGACCCTGCATTCACTATATCTGCTCTCCCCGGACCCGTGCATTCACTATATCCGCTCTCCTATATCCGCTCTCCCCGGACCCTGCATTCACTATATCCGCTCTCCCCGGACCCTGCATTCACTAATATCCGCTCTCCCCCCGGACCCCGCATGTCACTATATCCGCTCTCCCCCCGGACCCTGCATTCACTATATCCCCGCTCTCCCCCGGACCCCGCATTCACTATATCCGCTCTCCCCAGGACCCCGCATTCACTATATCCGCTCTCCCCCCGGACCCCGCATTCACTATATCCGCTCTCCCCGGACCCCGCATTCACTATATCCGCTCTCCCCGGACCCTGCATTCACTATATCCGCTCTCCCCGGACCCCGCATTCACTATATATCTCCCGCTCTCCCGGACCCCGCATTCACTACTATATCCGCTCTCTCTCCCCGGACCCCCGCATTCACTATATCCGCTCTCCCCCGGACCCCGCATTCACTATATCCGCTCTCCCCCGGACCCCGCATTCACTATATCCGCTCTCCCCGGACCCCGCATTCACTATATCCGCTCTCTCCCCGGACCCTGCATTCACTATATCCGCTCTCTCTCCCGGACCCCTGCATTCACTATATCCGCTCTCCCCGGACCCCCCTGCATTCACTATATCCGCTCTCCCCGGACCCCGCATTCACTATATCCGCTCTCCCCGGACCCCGCATTTCACTATATCCCGCTCTCCCCGGACCCTGCATTCACTATATCCGCTCTCTCCCCCACCCTGCATTCACTATATCCCGCTCTCCCCCCGACCCCATCATTCACTATATCCGCTCTCTCCACCGGACCCCGCATTCACTATATCCCCTCGCTCTCCCCGGACCCCGCATTCACTATATCCGCTCTCCCCCGGGACCCCGCATTCACTATATCCGCTCTCCCCGGACCCCGCATTCACTATATCCGCTCTCCCCGGACCCGCATTCACACTATATCCGCTCTCCCCGGACCCCACATTCACTATATCCGCTCTCCCCCGGACCCCGCATTCACTATATCCGCTCTCCCCGGACCCCTGCATTCACTATATCCGCTCTCCCCGGACCCCCTGCATTCACTATATCCGCTCTCCCCCCGGACCCCCCTGCATTCACTATATCCCTCTGCTCTCCCCAGACCCCGCATTCACTATATCCGCTCTCCCCCGGACCCCGCATTCACTATATCCCGCTCTCCCCGGACCCCGCATTCACTATATATCTCCTCTCTCCCCCGACCCCCGCATTCACTATATCCCGCTCTCCCCGGACCCCGCATTCACTATATCCGCTCTCCCCGGACCCCCGCATTCACTATATCCGCTCTCCCCCGGACCCCCGCATTCACTATATCCGCTCTCCCCGGACCCTGCATTCACTATATATCCGCTCTCCCCCCGGACCCCGCATTCACTATATCCGCTCTCCCCCGACCCCGCATTCACTATATCCGCTCTCCCCCTGGACCCTGCATTCACTATATCCGCTCTCCCCGGACCCGCATTCACTATATCCGCTCTCCCCGGACCCCGCATTCACTATATCTGCCTCTCCCCGGACCCCGCATTCACTATATCCGCTCTCCCCGGACCCTGCATTCACTATATCCGCTCTCCCCGGACCCCTGCATTCACTATATCCGCTCTCCCCGGACCCCCGCATTCCCGCATTCACTATATCCGCTCTCCCCGGACCCCCGCATTCACTATATATCCGCTCTCCCCCGGACCCCCGCATTCACTATATCCGCTCTCCCCCCCGGACCCCGCATTCACTATATCCGCTCTCCCCGGACCCCGCATTCACTATATCCCTCTCTCTCCCCGGACCCCGCATTTCACTATATCCGCTCTCCCCGGACCCTGCATTCACTATATCCGCTCTCCCCGGACCCTGCATTCACTATATCCGCTCTCCCCCGGACCCCCGCATTCACTATATCCGCTCTCCCCGGACCCCAGCATTCACTATATCCCTCTCCCCCCCGGACCCCGCATTCACTATATCCGCTCTCCCCGGACCCCGCATTCACTATATCCATCTCGCTCTCCCCGGACCCCGCATTCACTATATCCGCTCTCCCCCGGACCCCGCATTCACTATATCCGCTCTCCCCGGACCCCGCATTCACTATATCCGCTCTCCCCGGACCCTGCATTCACTATATCCGCTCTCCCCGGACCCCGCATTTCACTATATCCGCTCTCCCCAGGACCCCGCATTCACTATATCCGCTCTCCCCCGGACCCCGCATTCACTATATCCGGTCTCCCCCGGACCCCGCATTCACTATATCCGCTCTCCCCCGACCCCCGCATTCACTATATCCGCTCTCCCCGGACCCCGCATTCACTATATCTCCGCTCTCCCCCGGACCCTGCATTCACTATATCCGCTCCCCCCCCGGACCCCGCATTCACTATATCCGCTCTCCCCCCGGGGACCCCGCATTCACTATATCCGCTCTCCCCCGGACCCTGCATTCACTATATCCGCTCTCCCCGGACCCCGCATTCACTATATCCGCTCTCCCCCCCGGACCCCGCATTCACTATATCCGCTCTCCCCCGGACCCCGCATTCACTATATCCGCTCTCCCCGGACCCCGCATTCACTATATCCGCTCTCCCCCCGGACCCCGCATTCACTATATCCGCTCTCCCCGGACCCCGCATTCACTATATCCGCTCTCCCCGGACCCCCCCGCATTCACTATATCCGCTCTCCCCGGACCCCCGCATTCACTATATCCGCTCTCCCGGGACCCTGCATTCACTATATCCGCTCTCCCCGGACCCTGCATTCACTATATCCGCCTCCCCCGGACCCCCCTGCATTCACTATATCCGCTCTCCCCCCGGACCCTGCATTCACTATATCCGCTCTCCCCGGACCCCGCATTCACTATATCCGCTCTCCCCGGACCCCGCATTCACTATATCCATCCGCTCTCCCCGGACCCCGCATTCACTATATCCGCTCTCCCCCGGACCCCGCATTCACTATATCCGCTCTCCCCGGACCCCGCATTCACTATATCCGCTCTCTCCCCGGACCCTGCATTCACTATATCCGCTCTCCCCCCGGACCCTGCATTCACTATATCCGCTCTCCCCCCTGGACCCCACTGCATTCACTATATCCCTCTGCTCTCCCCCCCCGGACCCAGCATTCACTATATCCGCTCTCCCCCGGACCCCGCATTCACTATATCCCTCTCCCTCCCCGGACCCCCTGCATTCACTATATCCTCTCCCCGGACCCCTGCATTCACTATATCCCTCTCCCCCGACCCTGCATTCACTATATCCTGCTCTCCCCCCATTCACTACCCCCCCCATTCACTATATCCCGCCTCTCCCTCCCGGACCCTTTCATATTCACTATATCCGCTCTCTCCCCGGACCCTGCATTCACTATATCCGCTCTCTCCCCGGACCCCCATTCACTATATCCGCTCTCCCCCACCCCGCATTCACTATATATCCCGACCCCGCATTCACTATATCCGCTCTCCCCCCCCTCCCACCCCGCATTCACTATATCCGCTCTCCCCCGGTCGACCCCCGCATTCACTATATCCGCCGGCTCTCCTCCCGGACCCCCGCATTCACTATATCCGCATCTCTCCCCGGACCCCGCATTCACTATATCCGCTCTCCCCCGGACCCCGCATTCACTATATCCGCTCTCCCCGGACCCCGCATTCACTATATCCGCTCTCCCCGGACCCTGCATTCACTATATCCGCTCTCCCCCGGACCCTGCATTCACTATATCCGCTCTCCCCCCCGGACCCCGCATTCACTATATCCGCTCTCCCTCCCCCCGGACCCCGCATTCACTATATCCGCTCTCCCCCCCGACCCCCGCATTCACTATATCCGCTCTCCCCGGACCCCGCATTCACTATATCCGCTCTCCCCGGACCCCGCATTCACTATATCCGCTCTCTCCCCGGACCCTGCATTCACTATATCTGCTCTCCCCGGACCCCTGCATTCACTATATCCCGCTCTCCCCGGACCCTGCATTCACTATATCCGCTCTCCCCCCCTGACCCCGCATTCACTATATCCGCTCTCCCCGGACCCCGCATTCACTATATCCGCTCTCCCCGGACCCTGCATTCACTATATCCGCTCTCCCCGGACCCCTGCATTCACTATATCCGCTCTCCCCGGACCCTGCATTCACTATATATCCGCTCTCCCCACCCCTGCATATCACTATATCTCATCCTCCCCTCCCCGGGACCCTGCATTCACTATATCTCCTCTCCCCCCCCCCGCATTCACTATATCCGCTCTCCCCGGACCCCGCATTCACTATATATCCGCTCTCCCCCGGACCCCGCATTCACTATATCCGCTCTCCCCGGACCCCCCATTTCACTATATCCGCTCTCCCCCCGGACCCCGCATTCACTATATCCGCTCTCCCCGGACCCCGCATTCCACTATATCCGCTATCATCCGCTCCCCGGACCCCGCATTCACTATATCCCGCTCTCCCCGGACCCCGCATTCACTATATCCGCTCTCCCCCCCGGACCCTGCATTCACTATATCCGCTCTCCCCCCGGGACCCTGCATTCACTATATCCGCTCTCCCCGGACCCCGCATTCACTATATCCGCTCTCTCCCCGGACCCCGCATTCACTATATCCGTCTCCCCGGAACCCGCATTCACTATATCCGCTCTCCCCCGGACCCTGCATTCACTATATCCGCTCTCCCCCCGACCCCGCATTCACTATATCCCTCTCCCCGGACCCCGCATTCACTATATCCGCTCTCCCTGGACCCGGACCCCGCATTCACTATATCCGCTCTCCCCCGACCCTGCATTCACTATATCCGCTCTCCCTCTCCCCGGACCCAGCATTCACTATATCCGCTCTCCCCCCCGGACCCCCACATTCACTATATCCGCTCTCCCCCCGGACCCCGCATTCACTATATCCGCTCTCCCCCGGACCCTGCATTCACACTATATCCGCTCTCCCCGGACCCCGCATTCACTATATCCGCTCTCCCCGGACCCCCGCATTCACTATATCCGCTCTCCCCGGACACCCCGCATTCACTATATCCGCTCTCTCCCCGGACCCCGCATTCACTATATCCGCTCTCTCCCGGGAACCCCGCATCACCCCCCGACCCCCTCCACCCTTTCACTATATCCGCTCTCTCCCCCCGGACCCTGCATTCACTATATCCGCTCTCCCCGGACCCCGCATTCACTATATCCGCTCTCTCCCGGACCCCCGCATTCACTATATCCGCTCTCCCCCGGACCCCGCATTCCGCTCTATATCCGCTCTCCCCCCCAGACCCCGCATTCACTATATCTGCTCTCCCCCCGACCCCGCATTCACTATATCCGCTCTCCTCCCGACCCCGCATTCACTATATCTCCGCTCTCCCCGGACCCCGCATTCACTATATCCGCTCTCCCCGGACCCTGCATTCACTATATCCGCTCTCCCCCGGACCCTGCATTCACTATATCCGCTCTCCCCGGACCCCGCATTCACTATATCCGCTCTCTCCCTGGGCCCCGCATTCACTATATCCGCTCTCCCCCGGACCCGCATTCACTATATCCGCTCTCCCCGGACCCCCGCATTCACTATATCCGCTCTCCCGGACCCTGCATTCACTATATCCGCTCTCCCTGGACCCTGCATTCACTATATCCGCTCTCCCCGGACCCTGCATTCACTATATCCGCTCTCCCCGGACCCCGCATTCACTATATCCGCTCTCCCCAGACCCCCGCATTCATTCTACTATATCCGCTCTCCCCAGACCCTGCATTCACTATATCCGCTCTCCCCGGACCCCGCATTCACTATATCCCGCTCTCCCCGGACCCCTGCATTCACTATATTCTCTCCGCCCTCCACCCGGACCCCGCATTCACTATATCTTGCTCTCCCCCCGGACCCCGCATTCACTATATCCATCTCTCCCCGGACCCCTGCATTCACTATATCCGCTCTCCCCGGACCCCGCATTCACTATATCCGCTCTCCCCCGGACCCTGCATTCACTATATCCGCTCTCCCAGGACCCTGCATTCACTATATCCCCGCTCTCCCCCGGACCCGCATTCACTATATCCGCTCTCCCCGGGACCCCGCATTCACTATATCCGCTCTCCCCGGACCCCGCATTCACTATATCCGCTCTCTACCCGGACCCCGCATTCACTATATCCGCTCTCCCCAGACCCTGCATTCACTATATCCGCTCTCCCCGGACCCTGCATTCACTATCATCCGCTCTCCCCAGACCCCGCATTCACTATATCCGCTCTCCCCGGACCCTGCATTCACTATATCCGCTCTCTCCCCCGGACCCTGCATTCACTATATCCGCTCTCCCCCTTTGGACCCTGCATTCACTATATCCTCTCTCCCCGGACCCCGCATTCACATATATCCGCTCTCCCCCGGACCCCGCATTCACTATATCTGCTCTCGTCCGGACCCCGCATTCACTATATCCGCTCTCCACGGACCACCACGCACCCTGCATTCACTATATCCGCTCTCCCCCCCGACCCCGCATTTCACTATATCCGCTCTCCCCGGACCCCGCATTCACTATATCCGCTCTCCCCCGGACCCCGCATTCACTATATCCGCTCTCCCCGACCCCGCATTCACTATATCCGCTCTCCCCAGACCCCCGCATTCACTATATCCGCTCTCTCCCCAGACCCCTGCATTCACTATATCCGCTCTCCCCCGACCCTGCATTCACTATATCCGCTCTCCCCCTGACCCCTGCATTCACTATATCCGCTCTCCCCCGACCCCGCATTCACTATATCCGCTCTCCCCGGACCCGGAATTCACTATATCCGCTCTCCCCCGGGACCCTGCATTCACTAATCATCCGCTTCTCTCCCTGGACCCTGCATTCACTATATCCGCTCTCCACCCTCCCCGGACCCCCGCATTCACTATATCCGCTCTCCCTGGACCCCGCATTCACTATATCCGCTCTCCCCCCGGACCCTGCATTCACTATATCCGCTCTCCCCAGACCCCGCATTCGCTATATCTGCTCTCCCTAGACCCCGCATTCACTATATCTACTCTCCTCGGACCCCCGCATTCACTATATCTGCTCTCCCCCGGACCCCGCATTCACTATATCCGCTCCTCCCCGGACCGTGCATTCACTATATCCGCTCTCTCCCCGGACCCCGCATTCACTATATATCCGCTCTCCCCGGACCCTGCATTCACTATATCCGCTCTCCCCGGGCCCCGCATTCACTATATCCAGTCTCCCTGGGCCCCGCATTCACTATATCTGCTCTCCCCGGACCCCGGAATTCACTATATCCGCTCTCCCTGGACCCTGCATTCACTATATCCGCTCTCCCTGGACCCTGCATTCACTATATCCGCTCTCCCCTGGACCCCTGCATTCACTATATCCGCTCTCCCCAGACCCCGCATTCACTATATCTGCTCTCCCCCATGAGACCCCAGCATTCACTATATCCGCTCTCCTTGGACCCTGCATTCACTATATCCGCTCTCCCTGGACCCTGCATTCGCTATATCTGCTCTCCCCCCGGACCCTGCATTCACTATATCCGCTCTCCCCGGACCCTGCATTCACTGTATCTGGTCTCCCCGGACCCTGCATTCACTATGTCTGCTCTCCCCGGACCCCGCATTCACTATATCCGCTCTCCCCGGACCCCCCGCATTCACTATATCCGCTCTCCCTGGACCCTGCATTCACTATATCCGCTCTCCCAGGACCTCTGCATTCACTATAAATTGCTCTCCCCGGACTCCGCATTCACTATATCTCCGCTCTCCCGGACCCCCCCACATTCACTATATCCGCTCTCCCCCCCGGACCCTGCATTCACTATATCCGCTCTCCCCGGACCCCGCATTCACTATATCCGGCCTCCCAGGACCCTGCATTCACTATTATCCGCTCTCCCCGGACTCCACATTCACTATATCCGGTCTCCCGGACCCGCATTCACTATATCCGCTCTCCCCGGACCCTGCATTCACTATATCCGACTCTCCCGGACCCCGCATTCACTATATCCGGCCTCCCAGGACCCCACATTCACTATATCCGGTCTCCCCGGACCCCGCATTCACTATATCCGCTCTCCCCCGGACCCCACATTCACTATATCTGCTCTCCCCGGACCCTGCATTCCACTATATCTCCGCTCTCCCCTGGACCCCGCATTTCACACAATATCCGGCCTCCCAGGACCCTGCATTCACTATATCCGCTCTCCCCGGACTCCACATTCACTATATCCGGTCTCCAGTCTCCCCGGACCCCGCATTCACTATATCCGCTCTCCCCCGGAAACCCTGCATTCACTATATCCGCTCTCTCTGGACCCTGCATTCACTATAATCGGTCTCCCCTGACTCTAACATTCACTATATCTGCTCTCCTCGGATCCTGCATTCACTATATACTGGTCTCCCACAGTACACAAAACATGGAAAATGCAATTATTTTTGTAAATTTAAACTGCTAAATACCTTTTCTCATCAGCAGTATATACAGTCTTGTGACTTCTATCAGTGTCCAGCAGAGCCCTGGTTAAAGCTTGTAGGATGAGTTTTCTTTCAGCTGTAAAGAGGATGCAGAACCCCTGACCTCTGTCTGGACAGTGCTGATTGGCCCTGTGCTGATCACATGCACTCTCCCTAGAAAAAAACCTCTCTAGCAATAAACACTAACTGAGCATGTGCATTGCGTCCTCCACATAAGATGTCTTATCAGGGGGACACTGGAAGTAGGGAAGCAACAGAGAAGTCAGGATCAAACAGCATTTTTTACACCATGCAGAGGATTAACCCCTATAGGTCCCACAGTGAGTATAACAAGCATGCTTTACTGCATCTACAGACTGATTGTACTGTTGGGGGGTTTAGTAACACTTGAAGCATTAATAGCTCTGAATTGCACCTCATATATTATTATTATTATTATACAGGATTTATATATCGCCAACAGTTTACGCATCGCTTTACATGAGGGCAGACAGTACAAATACAATACAAATAATACAGGAGGATTCAGGGGCCGGCTCGTTAGAGCTGACAATCTAAGAGATGCATAATATACCTTTCTGTGCATTGTGACAATGTATGCCGTAACTGTCGTATTACCGCAGGGGCACCAGTGTGTGGACGGGACCTGACTTCTAAGAGTCTTGTGTGACCACAGGCTGCTTTGTGGAGAAGACCATTAGGATCTAAGGAGTTGTTTTTTTTTTACCTATCATAACAACTACCCCAAACCTTTTGTTCATAGTTACTGTACACAAATGAGAAAGGGAAATGGCCAGGGAAGCAATGACCAAGGAATAAACTTGTTAATGAGAAGGAAGCTCACATACAGCATGAACCCCATCACCAAACACTGCCTATCCAAAAGCCATAACACCGAGAGAGTGTGGCGTCCCTTTCTAATTTCAAGCAATAAAAAAATGATCACGATTGATGAAATAATTCATATGATCTGCTGAAGAGTCATTTCTTTTGTACAAGCAGTGTGACGGGAGTGACTTTTGGGGGTGGGGGGACCTCTGTATCATCTTCCCAAATTCCCATTATGTTTAAGGCACCCTGTGCCTGTTAAAGGGTACAGGGTGTGTAAATGTGAATGTCCCAGTCTTGTGTATAGTGTGTGTTCCTTTGTTCTCGGCCACATGGCTGTCTATTGTTTGTTTGCCATGTGCTACCCCCCCATTGTGCTGTGTCTTCCTGTCCAGCCAACTATTATGGGATGCATGTGTCCCTGTATTGTCCCTGCCATGTGGTCGCCTATTGTTCTATGCCATGTGCTTCATTCCATTGTTCTGTGTCTTGGTTGGATGGGGAGGGGTGATGAGGTGTTTCCTGCAGCCTCCCACTGAAGGGGCGGGCTGATGATGTATTTCCTGTTCCTGGTTGTGTTTCCCCGCCCTCTGTATATATCCTGTGTTTTGTGTTAAAATAAAGAGAGTTGGCTTCCTGTTTTAAGAAGAGCTGGGTGCTGTCTATTTCCTGAGGGATTTCAAGGGTGTGGTCCGTGGATGGTGTTCGGACAGGGGAAGCTGCGGTATAACGGAAATATACCCAAATGCGGTTGGGTTCCAGTTCCGTTACATTGGTGGCAAGCGGTGGGATTGTGCTTCCAAGCTGTAAACACATCCAAACCACCACCGGAATTCAAGAGCAGGAAAAGAGACGTCAGTCTGATGCCAGGTCCAGCTATGGACCTGGCATCAGAGTTCCCAGGGCTGCTACAGACTGTTCTTGCAACATACCCCAGGACTGTGTCTACGGATCAGTACCTGGAGCTCAGGCAGTGGATTTGGGAGGTGCTTTGGAGAGGAGCGGTCCAGGCTGCTGCTATGGACAAAGGCAAGTGCTATCCAACCCCATGGGAGCGGGTCAGGGACCATCGGAAGTCACGGATGCCATTCCTGGGAGAGCAACCTCAGGAGCAATGGGTGACTGAGTTGGACAGGCTGGTCCAGCAGGAGATACAACTGGACAATAGATATCGGGCTCTGTGGTGGTATGCAGAGCAGGAGTATTTAGGGGAGGCAACAGAATGCTCTCCTGAGGGACATGACTTTGGTGGGCCTGGATTGCTGTGGGGGAGCCTTACAGATCTTTTTGTGTTTGGCGATGAAGGAGAACCTACTCTGGAGGAGTTGCGAGAAGGCAGAGAGGCTATGTTCAGTCTCACAGGGGTCTCAGAGCTTG